ATTTTCAGTACTTTGTCCTGGACAAGTCACCAATCTACCACAGGGTAAAATTGAAACAAACAAAAAAATACTAAAATAAAACGGTGCACAGAAACACTCGCCTGTATGTCAAAGTTCATGCTCAATAATCCAGGTAGACAAATCCAACAAAGTTGTCAGGTCCTCTAGATGGTTTCTATTTGTTGAAATGTTTCACCTTTCATCCAAAAGACTTCATCAGTTTGAGGAGGCACGACAAACTCAGTCTTATAAATAGCACCTTCACATAGTGGGCCAACCAGGTTCATGGTGCTAAGATGATTTGTTGCAGCTCCTTAGACTGATGAAGTCTTTTGGATGAAAGAGGAAACATTTCAACAAATAGAAACCGTCGAGAGGACCTGACTTATCTTACCTTTGTTGGACTCAGTAGTATTTGTGAGTTTGAATGTAAATTATGGCCAACAAGTTTTGGGTGTCACAGGTAAAACTTCTCTTGCTTGAGCCACACTTGGTACTTAAATTCTAGTTTGTGTTTTGTGTTCCTCAGTGTTCTTGTAAGAGTTTGACAGGATTTAATATTGTCACACTTACTGTAGCAACAAGGTGTTAGTTGTCACCCATGCATGTTAATTAACACTTCAGCTCCAACATTGAAAAAGAAAAACCAACAACAAAAAACCTCTTGGAGTCATTCATGGCATTCAATGAAGTATGTGTAAGAGGAGGCATCTGCAAGAAGCTGGTGTTGATCACCTGCCAAACGTAGCAAGAGTCAGATTATAAGCTCTTAGGAACATTTTGAAACATTTTTTAGTACAACATCAACCGTGTATTCATAAGCAAACCATATCAATGTCCATCCATCCATCCGTTATCTTTTACCCACTACTTCCATTTTGGGTCACGAGGGTTGCTGTAACCCATTTCCGGCAATCATTGTGTGAGGGGCGGGGTACACCCTGGACTGGTCTCCAGTCCATCACAGGGACATAGAGACAAACGAGACAAACAACCATTCACTCTCTCACTCACACCTAGAGACAATTTAGGTTACCAGTCAGACTAACATGCATGTTTTTGGTTTGTGGGAGGAAACTGGAGTACCCGGAGAAAACCCATGCATGCACGGAGAGAACATGCAAACTCCACCCAGAAAGGCCCCCGGACCGGGTTTGAACCAGGGACCTGCTCGCTGAGAGGCAGCAGCTCTACCAGTTGCACCACCGTGCTGCATAT